TTCCCTGAGCTACTGGGACACCGACGAAAAACCTACTCTCGTTTTCAAGACTGATGCCTCACAATCCGCTGTCGGTGCTGCACCACAACTAATCGGCAATGAGATTCAGCCGCTGTCTTTCTTTTCTCAGAAGCTACAGCAAGCACAATTAAGATATAGTACTTTCGGTCGCGAACTTCTCTCGTCACGTCCTTGAAGAAGGACGTTTTGTAATCCTGACGGACCACAAGCCTTTGGTCTACGTTTTTTGTGCCGTTTCCGACCGCTATTCTCCGATAGAGACACGACACCTGGATTACCTCTCGCAATTCTGTGTCGATATCCGCTATCTCGACGGTCCAAATAATGTTGTGATGCACTTTCACGTGCTCACATACATCAGCTGTCGTCCTCACCAATAGAGCTTGAGGAAATGTCTGTTGCCCAGAACAACGATCCTGAACTCGCTCAGCTTCGATCGAATACCACGTTGCAATTCTTGCAATTACCTATGTTAAACTCAGACGCAAGGATTCACTGCGATGTCTCTACCGGTAAGCCAAGACCGTTTGTTCCACAGTCTTTTCATGGACTATCGCATCCTAGCATTCGATCCACTGTGAAGTTGATTACTGGTCGTTACATCTGACCAAGTATGCGCTCCGATATCCATCAATAGGCTAAACACTGTCTCAGTTGCCAGAGCAGCAAAGTACACAGACACACTATCTCTGCCCCCGGAACATTCTCACTACCTGAGGCGCGTTTTAGACATGTCCACTTAGAATAGTCGGACCGCTTTCTCCATCGAATAATTTCACTTTCATTGTAACTTGTGTTGACCGTTTTACTCGTTGGTCGCATGCCATTCCTTTATACGATACAGCTTCAGAAACCGTTGCCCGTGCATTTTTCGACCCATGGATTTCCTTCTTCGGTGTACCATCTACGATCACTACAGATCGGGGATCTCAGTTTAACTCCACCTTGTTCCGTGACTTGGATCGTCTGTTGGGTTGTACCCACATTCAGACAACTGCTTATCATTCCGCTTCGAATGGCCTTGTCGAGCGTTTCCATCGACAGCTTAAAGCCGCCATCACAGCTTAGTCACCTGGCCCGTATTGGTCTGTACGCATTCTGTTACATGTGTGTCTTCTGCTAAAACGATGAGCAACACACAGACACATGCAGATCGGTTGACCAATAGCTGATTCGTCCACTCTTTTTCCTTGTGCTGATTGGTTCCTTTTCGACTTACTCATCTGGTGTAACTTACAAGCTACCATTACAGATTTTGACACGTCCCATCCGGTGTGTTCTTATTCACTTCTTGCGCGGACTAAGGGTCCAGGTGCAAACCAGCAATACTCGAGTAATACGTATCAGATCCCCCCAGGGGATGTTACATGTGTGTCTTCTGCTAAAACGATGAGCAACACACAGACACCATGCAATCGGGTTGACCAATAGCTGATTCGTCCACTCTTTTTCCTTGTGCTGATTGGTTTCTTTTCGACTTACTCATCTGGTGTAACTTACAAGCTACCATTACAGATTTTGACACGTCCCATCCGGTGTGTTCTTATTCACTTCTTGCGCGGACTAAGGGTCCAGGTGCAAACCAGCAATACTCGAGTAATACGTATCACATTCCAGCCGTCCTTATTGGTATTCGTAATACCGTCAAAGTGGATATTGGATGCAGCCCTGCTGAACTCGTCTATGGCACCACTCTCAGAGTTCCAGCTGAGATAAAACGAGATTCCCGAGTCACTGGGGGAAATGGATCCTGTGTCCTATCGCGAACGTCTTAAACAACACTTCCGAACAATCCGACCTACGTCTACTCGCTTCACTGCCCGAGAACAACGAATTCATCCGGACTTATATACTTGTTCTTTTGTTTTCATTCGCATTGATGCAGTTCGCAAGCCGTTGACACCCCCTTATGAAGGTCCTTTCAAAGTTTTGCCACGGACGCCTAAGTATTTCATCCTGGAAAGGAATGGATCGAAAGAATCTGTGAGTATTCACCGTCTTAAACCCGCTCATGTTGAGCCTATCGTTAATTTCACTGATCCCAAGTTGTTACCCCCTGGTGACCAACCGACTGATTCTAATGCTCCAGAACCTTCATGCGCTCGCCCAACGAATGGCCCTAAGCACACACCTTCAGGACGTTCTGGGTCTTTCCCCTCCAAACTAGCTGAGTTTGTTCCCTAAATAGCTATATCAAGCGTTACCAGTTCACGCTCTACGGCGGGAGTTATGTAGTAGTTATTAATCTTTCACTTCGGTCTTTCCTATCACCGATTTTATCATATCTTTTGTGCAATTTATTTGGATTAACGATTACAATATACTTCTTCGTGGCCCGTGCTCCGTCGTGCTGATTTTTGACTGTGCTGCTTCTGCGTGTGTACGGTGCTGTTCAGTCTGCTTGCGACTCGGAATTACTATCGAACGTCTATTTCCATCGTGCTCAATGTGTGCCACAGGTATAGCGCAATCTACGATCCTAACTCAACTGTAATTAGACTGTGAGTTGATACTTTCCGAGTTTTGCGTTTACTAAGGGACTGAAACATTCTTAGTATTCTTTCGACCACTACAGTAATACGCACCTAAGGTCACTCACTAAAACGGCAGCACAGTACAGCCGCCTGGATTGCGGCAGAAATTTCTTTCTCGTCCGTCTGTTTAACCCGTAAAAGGCTCTTTTAAAATCTGTCCTTTCTGCACCATCAGTGTCCATTCTCAAAAGACGTTTAGATGACTCACCTACACTTTGTTACCTAGCACTACACCTCCAACTTACTTTTGGAATAAACTTAGGGTTTATTTGCCGTTAAATTTTGTGCCGTGCTACATGGATCACAGCGTATCAAACGGTAAGCTTATTTTACACGTAAATAACCCACTATCTTGTACTAATGACACTGAGCTTCAGTGGTATAGGATCTCGGCCGCTATGCACAACGCAGCAGCATCTGCTTGTGGCACTATCAATCGTCACCGCACCATTCACTGGATATCCGACAGGTCGGTGAACGTGTTGGAATCTAGAAGAAACCTCCCGGCTGGCTCTGAGCACAATGTGACCAGACGGACTATTAGGAGCAAACTAAAGCGGAGCCTGAGGTGAAAAAAGGAGATCTGGCCTTAAGAAAGGAAGGAGGCGGGAGCAATAAGCAATTATCGGAAGCTCCTCCAACTGATCCGCGCCACTGGCCCCAGGAAACCAGACAACAGTGAGACAATCAGTCAGTTCACGCACTGTAAAAGCCGGAACTGCCTTTTTGAACCTGCAGGATCTTTGACGACAGAAGGGAGTTTTCCTCCGTCTGAAAGACCCTGTTTACAAGGTTACAGCGAGAGCCGTTCTGTTTTATGAGAGTGAGACTTGGCCCCCTCTATCTGAGGCGCCTTCGAGTCTTTGATTATCGCTGTCTGCGGAGCATTGCTGGTGTCGGGTGGCACCAGCGTGCATAGACGAGTATTAGGCAGTGATACCCAAGCTAGTTCCTTAGAACGACAGATAGCACTGAATAAGTTACGTCGGTTTGGGCACGTATTACGTATGCGCAGTCACCACTTACCGAGGAGGAACTTGTTTAGTCTGCCATGTGTAGGGAGGCCGAAGGCTCGAGGTGGACAAAAGTTGACTTGGCAGCGAGAAATGTAGTCATTGAAGACCAAACTGCTTGCCGTTGTTACGTCTCGCCTTCCGACATGGAGTCAAGGTGACCCGCCTTGTGCTTAGCTCGAGACTTTACAGGACATGGCTGGCAGCTGACACCAGTCGCGCGACTGTTGCTGTCTCCCAGCCGGACTGCTTGTTTAAAGTGTATTTTGTGCTGAGTTATCTTCGGAGTAATCGCTGAGTATGATGCGGAACAATGAAAGCCGCAAGAAAGCTGTCTCGCTGATGCCGCACAATAGCCAGTTGTTTGTGGCGGCATGTTGTTAACACAAAGTGTATGCGCCTTTATCCTGGATGCTTGCTTAGAGCATCAAGGTTTTCCAATAAGTCCCCCTTCTCTCCCTCTTATCTGTCTTTATTCCATAGGTCATCACTGTTGTATGGCAGCGAAGCATCAGTTCAGATGGCTTATGTACTGCTGTTTTGACGATGATTCGAGACAAACCAAGTGTCGCAACGGCCCATACGGATTGGCTGTCTGCTGATTGACACTTTTTGTCACTATTGCACCTAGGTTGTTGAGTCCCCGAGGTGGGTGATCTATGGTACCATAGAAGTTATGATTAAACTGATAGTGGGGTTGTGTTAGTTTTGCACATGTTGCTCTTTTGGATTGGGATGGTAAAATCAGGCTAGCTAATTTTCCCGGAACAACTAAAGTGAGACGCTGTTACGAAGTGGGTTGTGCTCTTGAAAGACTTCATTTTCCATTCTCAGTTTTGATGCTTTTCGGTCAGTCATTTTTAAATGGTATGTCGGTACGATTTCTCCGATTATTATTCTCTTATCGTTGTGTCTGAATGGCCTGTACTTCGCTGTATGAATGATTGCTGGTCAGCTGTACTGAACTAAGTTAAGAGACGTGGCAATCCTACAGAATAGTAAAGCGCTTAGCATTAGTAAGAAGATGGCCAAGCGCATCGAGTGCTTTATTAACAGCTGATTTACATAACTCCATTAAGCAACGGAGCTGAATGTTCGCGCTGATCGAATCAATTGTAATGTGAAAACGTAGTTCACCAGTGAGCTGAATCAGAGCAAAAGTACGCGTTGTGACAAGCGTCACTCGGTTTCGGCTGACATCCCAACGTCCTAGATTCAAGTCGTGGTCTTGTTATTTTCATCTGATGAGTGCAAATGAGTACGAAATCGGTCGTAGAATGCATTGTTGCTAGCAACTATCATCCACTAAAACAGAAGCATTTCATGTATGTAAGCGCTCGGGGTTGGTGTAGTTAGAGAAGCTTTTGGTAACGTATCTTAGGTGTAATACAAATTCGTAATATACCCCCAGGACACGAGTGAAGAAGTCAATTTCGCCAAAGGGTACATTTGGAAAACAGGCGGCAAAGCGATCACAGTGAGTTCTTCCCAGAGGACAGAAAAGCTGTTAGTCCTGTAGCGAGAAGCATGGAGACGAAATAATTGCTAGCGAAACGGTTAAGGAAACAATATAGGTAAGTGGACGGAGAATGATCGTGTTGGCAAAAAAGTTCGCAGAACTAATGACGTTCGTTCCTGGTATGTGTTCGAATCCAGAAACCGGGTCTGTCCACCGTTTACTGCTGTACGTGTGTATGTTCGGATGAATAGCCCAGTGTCATTTAACTTGCTGCGAGAACCGCTGCCTCACCAACCTAAAGACAGAACTTCATTCCTCCAAGTCGTACGCTCTGCTTACTCTGTTAACACCCCTGTACCAAATGGGCTTTGTAGCAAATGTTTTGGGTTACAAGATTATCATAAATCTGTTGCATCTGCAACTGTCCGCAAATGCGTGGCTTATCCATAAAAAAATGCGAGAGCAGGGCAACTGCCAACGATACCATGGTATTTTAACCGGTGGTATCAGTTGGTGAGACCAGACATTCAGTGATCGAGTAGTGGTAATCAAGAGGGAGAATTGTTGCTGAAACAGGTCATAGCAAATTTCTGGAAGCACAAATGTTGAGGAACCGTTTATCAAGTGTCCTTCAGTCCAAACACAAAATAACAAATATAGCCATGCAAAGTTAATCATTACCCGTGAAAGTAAAGTAAAAGTAATAATGATAACATCTTGAGCGAAAGCCGCAGAGGAAACGACTTTTCAGTTTTTTCTAGAGGTATAGCGGCTGCCTGAATGTATTTAGCTGCAATAGACGATTCCAGAATATCATCCTTAAGGCTCTAACAATTAGTAACTGGCATCGCTGTCTTGGCGCCATGAGATGATTGGTGATACACTAAAGAAAGTGTATGACAGTATAATAACCGCGCAACATAGCAGTTAGCAATCATGGCTTCCGGCGTCATCGCTCATGACTCAGCAGAACTCGCTAGAGGATTTCGCTATCAACGAGTCCAAACAGAAACACTTTCGGAGGAATGGTGATTGTCTCAGCGAGGCTGGCTGCGGAGGATCTCCTCATATAAAGGAAGGGGTCGAAAACGACTGCGAACGGACAGGTGAGCCTTATCTGGTCCAACTGAGGATAGGCATACTTGCGCGCGACAAGATTAGAGAGTCCATTAGTCCGTTGGTAATAAAAGCGAAGTCGAGAGTAACACGGACTGCCGATGAGTCTAAGAAGATAAAAAGACCGTTCAGCCTTCCTCTTCTGTGGCTGATTTAGTTTACTCGTAACAAATCTACACTAAGTACGGTAAGTAAATCATAGGCGCGGCGATGCGAGTCATACCAACTAGATCTACAGCATTTCGTTGTCCAGATCACATAAGTCTGGTTGAGTGATCACGTTTTGAAAATATAGGTGTCTTGCGTAACGTGACTCGCCACTAAATAAAGTCACTGCCTCTTGCCTTTCTCTGAGTGGCATTGTAATTCAAGGGTGTTGGACCCATTGTCCTATGCGGATGAACCACTCGTTTGATCACCGGCTCTCAACGAGTTGCGATACGCTCATATCGCCCTGCTGCCTTGTAGGTTAGATCCTTGATCAAAGGCTCGGGGTGGGGCCCCCCTAAGACAACCCTCTACTTCGGCCTGGGCAACCGGGTAGTATCTCACCCACTGAGGAACCATGGACTTACAACCACAACCATTCACCCGCTATCTTGCTGCTACCATGATATTCACTCATGTTACTATGCCAACTGCACAAGCACACGCCACCATTTTACCTACCCTTCCCGTGTACCATTCACACCCATTTTTATCTGATTCCTCTATAACGATCAATCCCACCTACACTGATGAACCTGTTCCCGTGACATTTGTCAACTCAACTACACAGTACTCAACAGAGAGTTGCCGGTCCCAAAGTCGCTCATCTTCGCTCCTGCAACCCTGAACGCAGTTCAAACTTACAGCTTTCAACGTACGCACATTACTGCAGATCGGTCAGCAAGTTGGAGTTGCACGCACGCTAGAGACCCTTGGAATTGATATCTGCTGCCTGACTGAAACACGAATCCAGGACTCTAACTCGGTCTACCAGGTGGTGTCACCGCTCCACCCACGCACCCGGTTCCATCTCCGCCTCTCTGGTGACGCCGAGTCTGCCGCATCTAGGCAAGCTGGTGTTGGAATCGCCCTCAGTGCTAGAGCCGAGACTGCTTTGATTGATTGGATTCCGATCAATAGCCGCCTTTGTGCGATGAGGCTCCATGGCTCTTGTAAAGTCAACAGACGTCAAGTCGAAAAGCGTGCTCTCTGCCTACGCGCCCACTGACTGTAGCTCAGACACCGTCAAAGACCAGTCCTATCAGAACCTTCATGAGCTGCTCCTAAGGGCTCCTAAAACAGACATCATTGTTTTGGCAGGTGACTTCAACGCGCGTGTCGGTCGTCTACTGCCATGTGAGCGCCACCTCGGAAAACCGCATGGATATGATGATGTTCACTCAGACGATGGATAGAGACTGTTCAATCTGTGTGCTGATCATCAACTATTCCTCTCCAGCACCAGCTTTCGTCATCCTGGACGTCAGTACGCCACTTGGCGCCCTCCATCATCAACTCAGCGCTTGTCACAGATTGACCACATAGCTATAAGTCGCAGGTGGCGCGGCAGCGTACGCGACTGCCGATCATTTTGGTCAACGTGCGTCGATACTGATCATGCACTGGTGTGTGCGACCGTTTGCATGCGTTTTGGTGGTTCGCCTAGGTCAAAACACACCCGACTGAACACCTACAAGTTGGAGGACCCAATGGTGAAGAAAGAGTATCAACAAAAGCTTCGCGAAAAGCTCTCTCTCATACTCTGGATGTTGATCAACACTGGTCAAGTGTGCAACAAGCCTTGCTGTCGACCGGTTTGTCCAGCTGTGCCCTCACTCACTCCACTCCCAAATGCTGGATCTCGGGAAGATCCTCAGAACTGCTGGATCGTCGACGGGCGGTGCAGAGTACAACGAACACCGCCGGTCTATTACGCAACATCTGAAAGCAAGTCTTCGCTCTGATCGTGAATTTTGGTGGTCAAAACAAGCTGGTGAGATGGAAGCCGCTGCATCAGCTGGCAACTTCCGCCGTCTATTTTACATCATTAGTGCCACTGGTTGCAATTTCCACGCTATCAGCCAGACGATTTGCGAATCAGACGGCACGAAGATCACCAACCTTCACAGGCGATTGGGTCGCTGGGCAGAACATTTCGCTCTTCAATTCAACCACCCAACAGAGCCCCTTGCGGCACCTCCAGCCCGAATGTATGATGCTTGACCTGTCTCCACACCCCCCCAAATGAAGCAGAGATTCGAAATGTAATCCAATTTTTGAAACGCCACAAGGCTTCGGGTCCCGACAATCTACCACCGGTTCTATTCAAAGATGGTGGAGTGTACTTGTCAGCGAAATCGTCGCTGTTCACGAAAGTTTGGACTGAGGAGAAGGTTCCGAGCTCATGGGGAGAATCGGTCATTGTTCCGATTCACAAGAAGGGCTCCCGCGTCGATTGCTGCAACTACCGCGGAATCTCCCTAATCTCTGTCGCATCCAAAATCTTCGTGTCTGTCCTACTTGGCAGGCTTTCAACGACTAGAGAGTTTTCCCGAGAACAAGCCGAATTTTGTCCAGACCGCGGCTGCATCGACCAAAGCTTCAAGCTTCGGCAAGTTCTCGAACTTCTCACATCCACCGGCGGCCAACAATCGTAGTGTTTTTGGACATCCGAGCGGCATTTGATTCAGTAGATAGATCTGCGTTGTGGAACAGTTTACTGAAGAAAGGTGTGCCCGACAAGTTTGTAACTATCCTGAAAGTACTTTACAGTCACACGTCGGGCAAAGTTAGGGCTTGCGGCACGCACTCCCCTTCATTTGCTGTGTCCAGCAGTGTTCGCCAAGGTTGCCCTATTTCACCTTTTCTCTTCAATTTCACCATCGAAGATGTTCTCGAAAGAGCACTGGAAGGTATCCAGGACTGCGGTGTTGAGCTCCTCTCTGGAGACAGAGTCACGGACTTGGACTACGCCGATGATATCGCCTTACTGGGGGACAATCCACAATCCGTATAGAGCGCTTTGGACCGCTTGGCGATGGAGGCGTCTAAGTACGGCTTATGCTTCACTCTGGGAAAATGTAAAACGCTGCTCCAGGATTGACAGGTGCCTGAACCCGCGCTCACGATTGCTGGACATGTTCTGGAGCAAGTCCCTTGCTTTACTTATCTAGGGAGTTGCGTCACGGCTGGTGGCGGTGTTGGAGATGAGTCACAACGGATTGCAAAGGCCCACCTTGCATTCATCAAACTGAGACACCTATGGCGTCGTCGTGATGTCAGTCTCAAGCTCAAGGGCAGGGTGTACAATGCTTCCGTCCGTGCAGTACTATTGTACGGCTGGGATACTTGGCCTATTTGCTCGGAAGATATGAAGCGGCTGTCAGTCGTTGACAATCGCTGTCTACGAAGGATTGCCAGGGTGTGGTGACAATACCACGTAAGCAGAGGTACGAGACCACGTGCTTGGGGCGAATAGTGCCAGTATTCAGGACGTTATTATCTGACATCGCATGAGTTGGCTGGGGCACGTTCTGCGCATGCCAGCCCATCGACTTCCACGTCGAGCGTTATTTGCACTCCCAGGGAGCGATTGGAAAAAGTGCCGCGGTGAACAGCCGATGACGTGGAGGAGTATGAAGAAGGCAACCTCAAGTTTGGCGGCAGTCGGACCAGCCCGCCTTCCAGGTTGGGGACCACGAGATGCTGAATCGCAGTGGTTGGAAACATTAGACGTCATGGCCCGCAACAGACATCAGTGGCGTCAACGTTGTTCTGCAATTTCACCATATTTTTGATGCACAAAAACTCACAAAACAAAACAAAAATACAAAATGGCGTGTGTAAAACCAAAAAAATCGTTTCCCATATTTCTTAATCGCATTAGTGTTCCCATCTTCTTCACTTTTTTTCTTCTGCCATGGTTCTGATGGCACAATGTCTGTTAACAGACTGTGAATAAATATATATGCGTAACGTTGCACTGGTGCAATGAGTTCTTCACGTCAGGCCGAAGGATGTCTGCCGCAGCAATTTCTATGCGAAAATCGCAAGAAACGGCAGGCACTGAGGTCAACAAAGTAACTCGCAGAGGCTAAGTAGGAGATGTCCAAAGCCTACGAACAGACAAGCTATCGTAACTGAAAAATGTTTCCAAAAAGTGGTGTTGTAACAATGGGATGTAAAAAGGATACATCTGTCCCGAAAAATGCTGCAACACCATAGATGATATGATGAGGATCAGCAGGAAAATACAGTTGTTGAAGAATATGGAAAAGGCCGTAGACTCATAGTCCGAAACTTCCCTCGTGCGCTCCCGTATTCTAAGACAGTGTAGATCTACAAGAAGCACTTACGCATCTTCCCTTTCTTTTCTAGACGCCTTTTTATCCTTGTCTGCGTCGACAGACATTTCCTTTGCAATTGCCTCACTCCGTTTAATTGCAACGCTAGAATGCGGAAAATATGAGGTAAAAGAACTGAAATTTACCGTTCCATAAGAGGGGTCTTCGCACCCTTGTAAGCGTAAGACATAAGAAATGCGGAGATCGAGGAAACTATGGCGTACAATAACATATTCGAAAGAAGCTTTAAAGAGTGTACTCTCCAAAATAGCCCTTGAAGATAATAGCGATTATAGACATACAGATTGGAATCAAAGAGATGAGCACAGCATTCCCGAAGATCAAATGATTTGACCTTTTGGAAGCATAACGACTATATAAATCAAGGAGAGCTTCGTCTTCTTTGGTTATCTTAACAGGCATCCTTGTGAGGTGAAATCAGGAATTCCGGGGTGCTAAAGTGAAGAATTACAAGATTTCAGCGATAATCGGACAACGGGCAGAGATCGATCTCAGTAGGAAAGAACGCCACAAATGCATATCGTACCAACAACATAACATGTACAAGTCACACAGCGAGAAAGCATTGAGAGACTAACTGATACCTAGAGAGATTACCAGGATGCTATGATGGGAACGGTAAACGGAAAAAAGCATACACGGAAAGTTTCACCCTCGGAGAATGACGCACAATGTATACGGTGAAGTTAGAAATACACCAGTTCGATCGCGTTGCACATAAACAGCTCTCCTAGGTGCCAAATCCACCATGACTCTTTCAGAATACTCAGCAGACAGAACACTGCTCACGTACTGCAGTTTGCCGAAGCTTCAGCTATTCAGTGGCTCTAACGCACTTGGTGTGACCAGACCGAGTTCGTGGCTAGCCTAGCTTTGGCTTGATGAGGTTGGCGACCGCGTCAAATGACCGATAGCCATTTTCTCACAATTGTACTGCATATAGAAAGATGCCAAATAGTAAATTTCACAAACAGTAAATCGCTTGGACGGAACATTTGTAGCAGTCTGCAGCGTACCTGGTTTGTTTGAGTACAATATGTACAATTGTAATGGAACTTACTTCTTCCGTTGCACACTAGGACGGCTGATAAGAAATGTGGACTGTCAGTGCAAGATATTATGGTAAATCGAAAACACGCCCACGGTCGGATGCTTCGCGCATCTACGACACGCGTTGCTATCCCCGCTTCCCCAACCAGTACCGTTCGCCAGTGTTGCCACATAGGGGACACTTGTATGCGCACAATGAAGCGTGTCCATTCATGATTCCGTTCCTCTGGAGTGATATTTTGGCCTGACGCCATAATATGCGCACCAACTCGGTTTGATTACACCAAGTGCATTAGAGCCACTGACCCGCGGATGTTTCGGCAAACTGGATCAGACCATATAGTTGAACTGTGCATCGCACCGCCGAGGAATATACCATTTAGTTAGTTAAGCGAGCAGTGTCCCGTATGTTGAGTATTCCGAATGAGCCATGGGGGCTTTGGCACGTACGGCAGTCGTATATGTGTAAAACGATAGAACTGCTGTATTTCCGTGTTCGCCACATACCGTGTGCGAATCACCCCGCTGCCTTGCGGGTCAGGTCTTTAGACCAAAGACTCGGGGTGAGGTCCCTTAAGTCAACCCTCTTCCTCGGCCTGGGCAACCGGTAAGCTCAATGCCCACACAACACATGGAATTTTGCTTCCATTCCTCTTACTCACTCTCCCTTTTTTGTTATTGTTACTTATATGTTGTGGCACTATGCCAAATGTTTATTGGGCAAACGTTCATACAATACATATAGCGTGTGCGCCATTCTCCGAGGGCGAAACTTTTCGTATACGCTTTTTGCTGTACGTAATTTTCGTGCACGTTTTCTTCATGGAACTGGTGGGAACTATACCCCAGCAATGCCAGGTGTGAGAACAGCGGGAGTAATCATAGAGGATAAAGTAGTTGCCGAAGCCATGCGTGGTTGGAGGATGTCAATACACAATTCTCGACGGACGGACGGGCGGGCGGGCGTCGCGCAAGACAGCTATTCTGAGTGAGAAAACGATACAAACTATTAGACCACCGATCTGAAGAGATGGCGTCCACTATAATGAAAAGACAGATTCTTTGTGCTGATGCTGGTAGCAAAAAGTGACTGTTTCTGTGATCGCCCCATGAAAAGCAGTGGAACTAACAGTCGCGAGAGGACTAGGTATACCGCCAGGTCGCCCACGGATCAATCAATCAAACAATACACGTTAGCGGAGAGTGAGAAACACACCTCAGCTAATGTGCCGCAATACAAAAAGATAGAATATTAAAATAATTCAAAAATTAAGTAATATAATGTTAAATATTATATTATGCATTTCGTATGAAATCGTAATTGGAGGGGAATCTAAAGAGGGGGAGGAACAAGGAAACTCACAACACAAACGCCATTGGGGCCGGCTCTTCGCCCTATCAGCAAGTGTGTCTAACCATACGCGTTCATCGTCCTTGGGACCCCAGCCAGGCAGTCGGGATGCACCAACCGACGCCAAATTCGAAGTGGGGGGTTCCATTTCTTTCGACCAAGTCAGCGCTGGGCCTCCCCTCCTCCTCTTCCAACCGCACCTCCGGCGCGCAAATGACGCGTGTCGCGAGAGTCGGTGTGCTGGCATGTGCACCACAGCCTAACCATCGGAGCCTAGTGCGTCATATAATGGTGCTGAGCGGTTAACTCGTTTCCTTACACCAAACACAGGAGACCTGTCACACTCATTCCTCAAGCGGTGCTCCCAACAGACATCAGCCAAGCTGCGAAGTTAGCGATGGTCGAACTTGACTAGCATCTTTATGTCTCTCGACCTGATGGGCCGTATTTCACAACCTTAGAAGAGGGTTGAACGGACGTCTGCATTATAAACTCTGCCCTTCATGGCTAGTGATGTCGCGTCGGCGCCCTAGGTGGCGGATTAGAACCGACGACCTCCTGGTCACCACACATGCGCGTAATACTTTCGGTCCCAGGATGATAGCATAAGTCCTATTGCGAGGAATCAATTTCCCGTAAGGTGGCAGTCCAAGAGAAGACTCAACAAAAGTAGACTGGTATGAAGGAAAGCCCGTAGTTATTAGTACCTCAGCAGTAAAGTGATAAACTTGTCTAACACATAAAATGATTTCAACAGCATTGTTAGGAATCAAACGAATCAAATCAGATCACATGCCACAGCAGTGGAATTTACCATATGTACACTTTGGTATCGTGTCAGTACGTCGCCAACAGGGCGCACTAAGATCCATTCCGCCTCAAGAGACCGTCGTGCAGTTGTAATTCGGGAGTCTTCCCTTGTGCAATATATTGGTTCAACCATAATCAAGATATTGTGAACAGGTTTGGACGTCTGTTAAGAGATGTACGGACTGGCAACTGGAGTTGTGGTGGACAAAAGCAGGTACTACTGCGCCAAGCGTTGGTAGTATGGAGGTGCTAGAAAAGCACAAACGGTTAAAGGCCAACAGCAGAACATACTAACGCCAAAACAAAAGCGGAACGCTTGGGAACTACAGATGTATATGCGGGGGGAATAGCCACAAAAGCAGTGCGCGCCACGCAACCTCCAGTAAAAAGCGAGTAGATGGGTGGACATTTGGTTCGTCGGAATTGATGCATTTGATTCACAACAATAGACAACTCCGTTCGCATCTTGAGTTCTCACAGCTTGACTGAAAGTTAGCGTTAGGTCATATGACGGCCGGCTAAATTGTCTGGGATTGTTACCATGGAGATACATAACGAGTTAATGTCTCGTAGATGTGCTAAACATGATGAGAGATCTTAGCGCTAGTAATGCTAATGGCCTATTTGAGCTATCCAAGTCGGATTACGCGCAAACGAAAAATGCCCACGCTTTATCAGAGCGAAATTCTCTACCAGCTGTTTTGTTGAAATATAATTTCACAAAGGCCAGAGCTAAAGAACAAGCTTGTTTTGCTAAGTTTGATCTGTCCGATGCCTACCTTCAAGTGGATTTTGACGAAGTCTCGAGGTAGTTGTTGACGATCAACACTCATCGTGGGCTATCCCAGTACAACCGCTTTCCCTTTAGTGTAAAAATGGTGCCAGCCATTTTTCTACAGTTGGTGGATACCATGCTAACGGGCGTTTCTGGAGCTGCTATATACCCGGATGATCTCATAGTGATGGGTCGAGCACCGGAAGAGCGATTTAACCGCCTGGATGAAGTGCTTGATTGTATACAGTCGTACGGTTTCCGGATCCGTGAGGATGAATGCACAATTTTCACGCCGATCATCAAATACCTCGGTTTTATCCTCGAAATAGATGGACGTCGACCAAATCCGGAGAACATAGTAGCCATTAGAAAAATGCCTCCACCAACAGATCTACAGTCCTTGCGTTCCTTTAGTGGGCTCATCAGCCACTACAACGCATTCTTGCCTGAGATGCACCGCCTACGTGCCCCGTTAAACAAGCTACTAGCCAAAGGTCAAACTTGGAACTGGACATCAGAATGCCAGGATGCCTACGTAGGGGTCAAGACATTGCTGTCCTCAAACTTGCTTTTGACTCATTTTGACTCCTCCAAAGAGATTGTCCTAACCATAGATGCATCAAGCCATGGGATTGGTGCAGTAATTTCACACACGTACACCGATGGATCTCAGAAAGCAATCGCCTATGCCGTTAGAACCCTTACAAAGGCCGAGAGAAATTACAACCAGATCGAGAAATAAGCATTGGCCATAGTGTTCGCGGTCAAGAAATTCCCCAAAATGCTATACGGCCACCGCTTCAAGCTTCTGACAGATCACAAGCTCTTGCTAGTTATCTTTGGTTCAAAAAATGCATCCTGGCCTACATAGCCAACCGGGGTATGATTTCGAGATCCACTACCAGTCGACAATTTCCATTGGTCAAGCGGATGCACTGTCACGCCTAATTGATGCCCACCAGCAAGTACATGAGGACACAATCATTGCCTCGGTCGAGATCGAACCTGACGTCAACTATCTGGTAACTGATGCATTGCACGGTCTACCAGTTACCGCAGAAGCTGTACGAACCGAAACGCTTCGGGACCCACTACTCAAAAAAGTTACACAGTTTCACAAAACATGTTGACCACGTTCATGTCTATCGGTCGAGTTGCAACAGTACTTCCAGAGGAGACGCTCTCTATTGTGAACGACTGCATACTATTTTCGGAAAGAGTGGTCATCCCCAAGGCACTTCAGGAGCGCCTTATTCGGCAGTTCCACGCCGGGCATCTTGGAATCAACCGGATGAAGGCGCTTGCCCGCAGTTATGTATACTGACCCTTCATGGACAAACAGCTGGAAGAAATAGCTAAATGCTACCAAAAGTGTTCCAATGTCTTAAAAGCGCCACAAAAATCAGAACTCTGTTCATGGCCAAAAGCTACTAAACCATGATGCCGCA